TGTCTCCTGGCACGGCCGCTCCAGACCCGTCGCCATCTTTATTCCTCTTATGTTCATTTCTAAAATTTAGTTATCTCCACCACACATGATTTCTGCATTTTCTCTCAGTAACCAAAGCATTCTTAACTAAGGCAGTGAATCTTAGGAGTAGAAAATCTTGTGAGAGCTCACTCTGCCAGCAAGGGTGGCAAAAAAACAGGATTAAGTATTTTAAAAAGCAAGATCCTTACCCACATGAAACTTACATTCTGGTTCTAGTTAGCATGCCAAAATCTCACTCTGAAACTTTTCATCTTAAAAAAGAATTCAGTCTAGAACAAATTCACCTTATTCAAAAAGTCCACATTCTCAGACCATTTTATTTCTAAAAGAACTGTTACAGACTTTTAGAAATAAACACAAATAGTATATCTGTAAATTTATCAGTAAGCAAATCATTTCCCTTACTAGTGCTTCTCAGACTACACAGCCTGGGGATGACCTAATTAGCACTGATGCTATCAACATCTGTAGTTAAGTCAATGTCCTAATTTCACTTGCTTAGGAAAAAATGATGTAATAATATAAATATTGGTTGAAAATGTTGGGATGTTTAAAAACTACTGGCAAATTGTTGTCATTTACAGTGACCCACAAATCTACACAATATTATAAAACTTTATAGTATAATAAGTACTTGAACTGTGTTGTGACTACGCTACACCAAAATATGTTTCATTTCTCTACTGTAAGTGGCACCTCACTGTGAAGTACAAATTTACTTTATTCCTTTAATGTTCTAATTTTTAAATGCCATATTTACACTTCTAGATTTTTATTGCACTTTATTACATTTTAAGTTTGGTCGAAAGTACATTGATTGATAGGATGATGTGATGGAGGGGTTTTGATCTTTATTTTGAGATTTGAGGGCCTTCAGCCCATGGCGTACTATGTAATCAATCAGAGAAGGACTAGTCATCTGTGAGGATGTGACCAGGCTTTTTGATGCATGTAGCTTTGTGGGCAAATCCATAAACTTGGAGTCAAAAGAATCACTTAGGAATTGTTTTCTTTTCTTTAAAAAATGCAAAAAGTATTTGCTTCTTCTGCATCAAACTTTTACTATAGGGATTGAATAAGATAATGGGACCATTTTGCGAAAATTATACATGGTTCTGGAAACCATAACTGGTATTATTTCAGTTTTCTGTCATTCATTTTCAGCTCACCAATATTATTATAATTTATGCATATGTATTTAAGGAAAGAATACTTCTCATCAAAATTTGAATTATAGACTTAAAGTACTCCTGTTTTTCGAAGTGCTATTGGCCTTTTTGGAGCTATAAGCAAAAGATGAGATTCTCTTTAATAACTAGTCACCCATATTAAACAACACTGTGAAACCACTCTCCAATGACTTAAGGCACAATGAGCCAGTAGGGACAGAAAACTCCATAGGCATCAGAAGTAATACATCAGATATGACAGAGACACTGTGGGTGAACCCAAGTCATTCATTGAGTTCTGTGGCATGCAGTGACAATCATGGAAAATTAACAAAGAAGTGGAGCCCTTTCCTTTAATAATACCAAAGGATTAAGAGGACCTAAAAATCAATTGACTAATCAATAGCATTTAACTGCTTGGAGCATTTCCCCCATGCTAATCAGTCATTTAATTGTTTAAACTAAAGACCTCCAGTTTCCCCAATTACTGAACTAATTTACAAGACATGATCTAGGATGTCAGAGTCTACTGATTCTCTCTCTCTCCTCTCTCACTACTGATTCAGAAGACTCTTGAAAAGGAGAATGTGTTGGGGGGGGGGTGTTCTCCCAGCTTGCAGACATTTGTGAATTAATGTGATACTCCCAAGTTCTAAATATGTATATTTGCTTGAGAATATGGGTGGGAACTTGATTGAATTCTGGAGTAATGGAGGTCCAAATAGCTAAAGAAAATGTCTATACACGATATATGTGCAGGCTTTTCAAATCTTAACTTCAGGAGCCTGCAGCAAAGACTCTGAATTCAAAACACCAAAAGGTATTCTAACAACACATGTGAAGTGAAATCTTGTTACCTACTTGCATATTGCCAGCAACTCTAGTATAAAAACCTCTTATAAACTTTTTTTTTTAAGTTAAATGCCACTGTGGGGGAAAAACAACACTAAGAAATAACTTTAAACAGAAGGAAAAAACTTTTTTATTGATATGTTTTACTTTGCTGGCAGACCAGAGCAAAGGTTTTGTGAACATTTAAAAGATGAAAAAGGTGAAGAATCCCAGAAGCGGTTTATCTTGAAGCGAGATAACTCTAGTATTGATAAAGAAGACAATCAGGTTGGTTCTCAAGTTTGAGAGTGGCTGACATTGTTGTCTTTGAAGGTGGGCTGACTGATGTTTTTGTCATTCCTCTGTTGTCCCTCCTTCCCTCCCAACCCTCCCCTGCCTCTGATAACACTGTCCTCTCTCCAACCTCCTTGCCTCGCCCCCCTGGCCTCCCTCTTTGGCCTTCAGTGGGTAGCAAAAAAAAAACATGTCCTGGTTGCTTTAGCAGTGGCTCTGTGTTGGGATGCATGGGTGGTGCTTGGCGCAGTTTCTGCTGCATGTCTTGGGGTGGTCGGGATGCCACAGGCTCTAAGCTGTGGGGAAAAGCTTTGTCAGTCGCATTTTCAGATGTCTGTGTAACTATGGCAGTCGTTCCACTCCCTACAGCTTTGTCCTTCAGTTGTGCACAAATTGAGCTGGATTATCAATACGGACTGATGATCAACCGGTGTAGCTGTAAAGAACAAACCTTGTTATGGTGAGGACAGGTGGATTTTGCAACTATCCTAAAATAAGTCTCCACGAAAAGAATTGAGTTCATGTTTTAGTTACCTACCCTTTCTCTTTCCCATGTTTTATGGTCCATGTAAATTGTCTGCTTCTTTTGCATGTACTGTAGCAGAACTTTATCCTTGTGTATTTTGCTTGTGACAAAACGCTATGTTGTTCTAGAGCAGTTTTATTCATGGTACCTGGACAAGGGTCAAGGGACTTTAAATCTCTTCTCTAGATGGGGGTGTGGGAATCTAGGGTGATTAAGAGGAAAGCTAAGAAAATGGCAATAGAAAACAAACTTTAAATGATAATAAGAACAATGGAAAGTCATATAAATGTCATCACAGTTATACTTTGTGTCTCTGACAATCAAAATAGATTTTTTGAAAATGACTTTGCCTTAGAATGCTAAAAGGTAAGACAATATGCATCTCACTCAAGTTATCATTTTAATTACTCTCAGTGAGTCACCATAAGCCAGTGTGTGCATCTCTGACGTGCTTTTTTGAAAACCTGTTCATCATTTGTATCTCGTTTCCTCCCACCACCACTGCCACCATCACCAAGCTCCACCGTGGCTCGTGTTGACTATAACATGTGCCTATGTCGTGTACTTAGTGGGTGTCTGTTGAGTGGATGGATGAGTGCGATTAGTGAACCGCATTTTGTGAGGAGTGGCAAGAATAAGAGGGGAGGGTAGTAGAGATGCAGGAAGGGGTTCAGATGAGAGGATAAAGAGGAGCAGTCCTCATGCTGGGTCCTTTGGATTGTTACTTTAGTTTTCTAGGAATTGGCCCTTATCAACAAACATGTCTTTTAAAATTTAGTTTATCAGCCTGAGGCCCTACTTTCTATACCAGATACAATTCATAGGATTATTGAAAGAATAAAAAACACACATTAAGAGACAGGGAAAGACTGTTCACACCTTTCTTTCTTTCTGTCCATTACTCTCTTTGCTCACTTGCTCTTTCTCCAGTCCCCAAGTTTTCAAAACAATGTCCTCCCTCAGCCACCATGAACTAGTCACTGTTTTTTTCACCAGCATACTGCCTCCTTCTGAGGTGTCACAACCACATAGGTTAGCAAGGGATACAGACTTCATCACGGGTGAGCCACCACATGCCTGAACTGGCTGAACATTCAGGGGCGTTCATTTTGGAAACACCTGTGCTACTTGCATCCAGCAAGGAAGCAGCCAGGAGCAGCAAACACCTCCTATCATTGCATGCCACGCATGCACATGGTACAGGAACCCCAACACAGACTTTCTAGGGACCCAAGGGAGTGAGGCTCTCCATGCTCCATTTCTTTAAATGAACATTTATGATTCTCAGCTGACAGTTGCTTAACCGTACATTTCTAACAACTCAACTTGGATAACCCTCCTGATTTCTTTTTTCTGTTCAGCAAAACAGAATGCATCCATTTAGAGATGACAGACGAAGTAAATCAATTGAAGAGAGAGAAGAGGAATATCAGAGAGTGAGGGAGAGAATATTTGCACACGATGTGAGTAGTTGTTTTAATTGCCTCTTTAGTGCGGTCCTTCCATCAGCAGTAAGGCAGCGTCCTTCCCCAGACAGTGAGCTGGCAGGGAATATGGAGGCTGGAGTCAGGCAACAAATCGAACTGCAGCAAACTTGAGGTGTTTCTGGAAGAGGACCTGGCTCAGGGAAGTGAAACAAAACTAGCCAAGTCTTGGGTATGTTCCTAGGATATGACTGGTATAATTTCAGTCAGTAAAATAGACTTTAAGTACAGAGAGAGGTTGTCAGGTTTGAAGAAGTGCCTTCACATTCATATTGGCCAGCAGATAACCTACTGCTGTGTTCTTTTAAATACCAACATTGTGCAGAGGAAAGAATTACAAAGAAGATTCTATTGATCACACACACACGTACATATGCACAGAGTATTTGCTGGATTCTTAGCAAATATGGACATTTTATTATACTAAAGTTAGATAATAATGCTCATTTTTCCCTTCAATTTCAGATCAAATCAGGTCTGTGAACAGTTCATCAAGGGAATAATCACAAAACAATTTCTTTTGTTCAAATCCCAACAAAAAAAATGTGGTTGGAGTTTTTTATCTTTTACCCATTATGGCCAAGATAAAATGCAATTAAATTAAGTAAGAATTGAAAGGTGAAAAAAATAAAGGCTGGATTTAAATGCAAGAAAGTTAAAAGGGCAAGCTGTCGCCATCGCTTTTCCATTCCATTGAAGTCATTTGGCAGCCTCCTCAAAGCTTGTGGGTCCCTTCCTCTGCAGAAGTGGAAATATGAGCTCCTCTGTGAGACTCCGTGGGCAGCACTTCCAGCTTTGCTAAGTTAGGGGAAGCATCCAAACTTCTGTTGTGATTTGCCCATTCATACTATACAAAGCCAGCCCAGAGACCTAGGCTTCAGTGTCTGGCATGGAGGAGGACTGCTATCATTGCAGGTTTCAGGCCAAAGCATTTCTCTGATCCTCCAGCCAGTGCTGGAGCTGCAAAGGAGGTTTAACCTTCTCCAACACTGCATTTCTTTCATATTTTTACATCCCCCCCCCACCTTTCTTGAAAACACTAAAATAGAATTCTTTTTTTTTTTTTTTGTCTTTTTTCCGTGTCCGGCAACGGATCGCAACCCTCAGTGTTGCCCCCGTACCGGACCGGGGACCGGCAACGGGATTGCAAGCCTCGGTGTTGCTCCCGCACCTCGCTCAGCCAGTGAGCGGGAGCCGGTCCGTACGTGGGATCCGAACCCTCGGACGGGAGCGCCGCCACGCTTCCCAAGCAGCGCACTATCCAGTGCACCACCGGGCCGGCCCATAGAATTCTGATGATAAAATAATCTGGCCTAGTGCTCTGGAATTAGTGTGAGAGAGAAAAATGGAGGTTGCCACAGGTGGAGGTATGAATGCAATTCTAGAAGATTCTACATATGTGTGAGCTACTTAGACTCTTATTATGGTCAGAACTTTTGATGGTGGAAAACACAGCCTGATGCATAGTGAGCATTTAATTGTGTTTGATGGATATGAAAATGAAATGATGAGAGGATCTATTCTAGTCACGATAAGGTAAAGATGCCTACAGTGGGCTGGGAGGCTGAGTGTTCCTGTCTGAAGACTTTCGTAGAGAGAATTTTTTCTGAAAGCTAGTTCATTTTTTATCCATGTTCGTTCTCTCTCTCCTGCTTGCTCTCTTGGTCTCTGTACCTCTCTCTCTTGTTCTCTCTTGTTCTCTCTTGTTCTCTCTCTCTCTCTCCCTCTCTCCCTCTCTCCCTCTCTCCCTCTCTCCCTCTCTCCCTCTCTCTCTCTCTCTCTCTCTCTCTCTCTCTCTCTCTCTCTCTCTCTCTCTCTCAAACATTTTCCCTCACACTCTGGTCCTGGCAAGTTAAGTAATTTACCGATGAGGTGCCATGTTGAAAAGCAAATACTAATCACACAGATAATGCACAATCAACATTATGTTTCTTCTTTTCCTTTTTTTTTTTTTTTTTAATTGTGCTACATTGCTGAACACTGAAGATGTAGGTGTCAGGAAGTACTGTCACTGACACCTGCCTGCAATGCGGATGACACCCATGCTGGTTACAGCATTTGCAGATTCTAATGCCATAGTGAAGCCATCACAGACAGGGAGGAGGGTTGTCATGACTTCCTTTACACATTGCATTTCCATATGAGCCCGTAAAAGAGATTAATGGCTAGGGACCTAGGTCCCAGATTAAAGATTCAGGGCAATCTTTGCTGTTTGAAGCCTCTATAACCACATGTTGCGTTAATTTTTTTTTAAAGTAAAAGCAGACAAATGTGAGAAATCATAAACATCAAGCAAGTTATTGCCATATCCTTTCCATTTTATGAAATCATATGGCCACTTTGTTTAAAATGCTGTGGCTTCTTCTCTCAGCAGAAATAGAGGTGTGAGCTCCTTCAGTTGGCCAACACTTCTGACTTGACTAATTTAAATGGCGCACCAGCCTGTTTCTGACACTACTTTTAACCTAATATCCCAGGGCAGGGTTTTCAAATTGGCATCCTGTACCCAGACTGTACTCATAGAAGGGTGTCCAGGATTAAATGAAGCCCCTGAAATCATTTGCAAAATGTTACGGTCATGACGTGTGTACTTTTCTAAAGAAAGGTTCCCTATTATTTATCATATTTTCACAAGTTTTTATAACCCTTAAAAGGTGAAGAGCCACACTCTTACAGGGAAAAAAAAAAGCGCAGTGTCTGTCTCTGCAGCTCCACAGCTCAGCTAGAGACATGCAGTGATACCACTTCTATCTTTGTGTGTTAGCTATTTATTGCTGTATAACAAATTATCTCCAAATTTGGCAGCTTAAAACAAACAAAAAAATACTTATTATTGCACAGTTTCTGGGGGTCAGAAATCTGGGAGTGGCTTAGCTGGGTGTTTCTAGCTCAAGGTCTCTCACGAGGTTGCAGTTAAGCTGTCAGCTGGGGCTGCAATCATCTGAAGCCTTGACTGAGTAGCTGAGTGTCTTCCAACTCACGCACATGATAGTCGGCCCACTTCAATTTCTCACTGACTGTAGGCTGAAGATCTCGATCCCTTTCTACGTGAGCTACTCCATAGACTGTTGGGTGACTTCATGACAGGGCAGGTAGCTTCCTCTGGGAAGAGAGGTGGGAGAGCTCGGGATGGAAGCCAGTCTTTTATACCTAATCTTGGAGATTATATATATTCTCTTCCTCCGCATTCTACTGGACACACAGACTGACCTCGGAACAAAGTGGGATGTAGCATACAAAATTTTTAATATCAAGAGGCAGGGATCACTGGGGATGACCATCTATTAGTAGGATATTATTATATCCTCTATTAACATAAACTCTCAAAAACATAACATAGTAAAATAAATTTTCTTGAATTCATATAAAAACAAATCTTCCTTACCACTTACATAGACACAACGCACTTTAGTTTACTTTCACCTATGTATGTCCAGATTTGCAAATGATCTTTATCACTGCCCAAATTGTTGCAGCACAAGATTATTCTTTCATAAGATAATAATTAAAGTATATTAAGTCAATTATAAAACAAATACAAAGAATCCAGCATAAGGAAACTATGTTACAGAAATCTAATCTTTTTCTTAACTGGTCTTTAATTCAGTTTTTTCATAATTTAAAAACTGAGCTAACAAAACCAGCTTTTCCTGTCAATTATTATTTAAGTAGTGGAGTTGTTCAAAAAGGTTTAAATATTGATTAAGTACGTATATATATATTGCAATTTGAAGTAAAAATAGAGGGTTCAGAAATACCTTCTGGTATTTACACTTTAACAAAAGTCAAATTTATTTCATAATTAGAAATGTTCTTGAATCAAATGTTTCTTGGCGTCTAAGGTGTGTGTATGTGTTTGTGAGAGAGAGTGTGTGTGTGTGCTTTTGTGTGCAGGCACACAATCAAAATATGCAGATTGCTTCAGGGATTTTCTAGAGAAAAAATTTCAAACATAGTTTGAGAATTTTGGTATCTTGAGATAAGACAAATTTATTTATTATGTGAGATCTAAATAGTTCTAAATCAGAGCGCACCAGAATTTATTTCTCATGTAATAAGTAAATGCGCTTTTTGTAGTCAGTAATATCTGAAAAATAATTCTTTTTTGCATTGGCAAAGATTTAAGTTTATTTTATGGTTGATTCTGTTCAATGTTGCTAACTTTAGGAAGGTTAGGTTAATAAAGAAATATATTGCAAAAGGTATGTTTTGCCTTGTAGGTAATTTCTGAAGGATATTTATATATAAATAGGGACTCAGGGAGGAGCTCATCTCTGATCCCAGTATGTGCTGGGATCCCTCTTCAGTAAGAACTGGGGATGAGGGCATGTGGGGCCACCAGGGCTGGGGGTGGCAGGTGGGAGAGAGCTCTGTAACCCATTAGGCAAAATCGTTTTTCTCCTTTTAAAACAAAGTGAGCCTTTTATATCTGAGAATGCATATAACTGACAGCTTTGAATGTTACATTTAATTACTGTGACAATTTTCTTTTTCTGCTATTAAAATTTGCAAGTTATGAATATTACTTAAGAAAAAGTTTATTTTCTTTTTTTTTTTTCTTTTTGTCTTTTTTTTTTACTGACCGGTAATGGGATTGCAACCCTCGGTGTCACGCCCGCACCGGGGACCGGCAACAGGATCGCAACCCTCCGTGTTGCGCCCGCACCACGCTCAGCCAGTGAGCGGGAACCGGTCTCCACATGGGATCCGAACCCTCGGCGGGAGCGCCGCTGCACTCCCAAGCGGCGCACTCTCCAATGTGCCACCGGGCCGGCCCAAAGTTTATTTTCATCATCTTCTGAATCACAGCCCATAACCCTTTCTGTCTTGTTTATGAAAATGTGATAAAGAATGATAATTTTTTAGAATTTTTCCACAAAAATCAGAAAAATATTCTTGAGATATATTTTGGGGGAAAGGTATCTTTGACTTCTTACTGTCATAATAATTTGACGAGTTAGGAATGCTTAACTTTTCCCCAAATGCTATTAGATTAAGGAGTCTGAAGAGGTCAGTATGTCTTCGATCAACTCCCTCAAAGAAATAGAGCCTCAATAATTCTAATAGCCAGTAACGCATTACACTGTTAATTGGCCTCTTTCCAACCACAAAAGAGGAGAAGCTCCAAAGTATTGAAGTCATATTGTATATTTAAGACAACCTCACTTTCTTTCACATACTGTGACTTGACTCAAACGGTGGAAATAAAGAGAAGATATTTGATATTTCATTTTGTAAAAAGATTCTTTATAGAAATAACATCAATATTACATTATTTGTACTTTTTTCCCTTTGCATATATAAATGTTAAAGTTTAAAAAGCTATTTTCTGGAAAGTTTTGTCTTTTAAATGTTATTTTTGCTTTTTGTTAAAAAGAGTTTTGCACACTTGAGGTTCAGGATGTATGTTAAATGCAGGAAGGGTAAAACAGAAATGATTATAGACATGCCTTTGCTGAAATGTTCAGACCACTCAGGAAAACACTGAGTGTAAATATAGCCCTTTGTTTTAGTGGAAAGAAATGCTTTCTCTAGCAAAATGAAAAGAAACTAATATCCCATTTGCCTCTCTGAGTGGTGTTATGTTAGCAGCATCTTTTAATTCATGAGTTAGTTATTAAAAGGTCATTATTATTTCTTTAGTTGGATTTAATCTTAAAACAGACCTGTTAAATATCTATTTATCCCTTTAACAGGTCAATTATTCATTAGTTAGAGAATTTGCACATATATTATGGCATGTGTATACGTATGTTTAGAAACCTAATACTTTGAAAATAGTTTTGTATTACTTCCTAAACACAGTCACACTGTTATAGGATTACAACACCATATTTTGTCTAGACTTTTCTTTTTCTGTTTGTTTAAATTTAATTTGATCCCCCTTTTCTCAGCATGTAATGATAATGGAATTTTATCTTCCCTACATTGTGTATTAAACACAAGATAGGAGAGAAATGAATACTAGGTGAATGGAAGCTAAGAAGAAAATCACTGGTTTTCTATGAAAAATACTAAGAAATGTTAAATGGAACTTGATTTTTTTTAATTAATTAGTTTCATTTTGTCCTCACTTGTCTTCTGCCCTTCTCCCTTACTTAAGACTAATGACTGATGGCAGCTCTTCAATTGTGAGAGTCTTGCAAGTCAATCTCTTTCTATCATGAGAGTTTATCATTACCTGGTAATAATCACAGGATTGTGGTTTTATGGCTCTCTTATCCTTAGGTGGATCGTATCGAGTTTGCATGCTCTGCCTTGATTTGAACCTATTCTCTTGGCTTTGGTTGGTGGCTGCACCTCCACAGCTCTGGAGGAAACCGCTAGCTCAGAATCCGATGGTCACATGTTTCTCCGGCAGTTTCATTCACATTTTCTCTTCTGACCCTGATGCTGAATGGGCTAAATCTGTTTGAACCTTGGACATGCTCTGATGGAAAAGTACCCTATGCTGCATGAGAATTGTTTACTTCTCTAAATCTAACTTATTTTTTTTCCTTTGTAATTTTCATCTTTTGTACATATTTTTCTTAATCCTTTTCCCCTAGGAGGGGAATAGTTTTAAAATCAGGCAAGGATTTGAGATCTCTCAGCATATCCAGAACGTCTGATATGATGCCTTTTTTTATTTTTCAGTCAGTTTGCTCCCAGGAAAGCCTTTTTGTGGAAAACAGGTAAAATGAAATTTACTTTTTCATGTCTTTAGAGGAACAAAATCTGTCATGTGTGTCCTGCGTATCCATAGATATATATATATATCCCATATATAAGTGTGTGCTTGAATGTATGTATAAGTAAATACATATATCCATGCGTACACACATATATATTCACACATATATGTTATTTAGCATGTCTAAAAATTATTGAATTTGGGGAAAATGTTCTCTCAGTTACTTCCAAACAGAGGCTTAAACATTTTCCTTGTTTAAAGTCTCAATTTTTGGTTCTTCCAAAGGTGTAATTTCTGTTACCTTCACGAAGTGTTAAAAAGAATAAATGTTGAGACCACAGAGGAACTTGCAGTTTCATTGGCTTATTGAGTAGGCTACTAAAAGCACTTGTATATTCAGTAGTATTAGCCACTTCTCATGCCCTATACTGATACATAGCTATACAAATAATAATTAGAATAATATTATTTTAAGTTTCTCATTCTAAGCAATCTGTTAGTCTTTATAAAAAGGCTAACTTAAAAATCCTATCTAAACTGGTTTAATTTTAACAATGTACTTGGCTTAAGAGTCAGTGGAGGGAGGTGGTTATAAATGAAGTGGTTATAAAATTTATAGGAAGTCTTGAGGATAACAGCAGAAATTTTTCAAACTTAACATATACCTTTTAAAAATGGCTCTAAACTGACATATATATTTAAATGACTCATTGATTTAATTGAAGATATTCAGGGCAAATTAAGGAATCCACATTAACTGTACTAATCACATTTAAGATGCATCCAAATGGTCAACTTGGTTTAGAAATACAGTATCCATAAATAAAGTAGTGGTTAATTTTATTTCAAGTGTCAGCTTAATGGTGTCCTTATAAAACTGATTAGAATGGAGACTGATTAAATGTCAGTACTCAGAGAAATTTAAACTGGGCATTAGAGATAGTTGGTTTTTAAAAATTAACATTATTCATATTAACAGTTAGAAATCTTCAAGTAGCTAAACCCCTCAATAGAATAACTAGAAGAAGGAATGAAATTAGAAAACAAGTTCGTATGAGGGATGCAAAAACAACTTCAAAATCCATACAAATTTGTGAAATTTGTATTTAAATTTTAAAAGATTGAGACAAATGTTTAGTAAAACTAAAAATCCAGGTACACTAATATCTTGGGAACGATTCTGAAGCATTTCAAAATTGTATATGCTTACCAAAAAGATTAAGTGAACATCTACAATTCAGGTTAGTGGGAAACCTTATTCCTATTCTTCTAGCCAGTTGTTTTTCCTGACTTACTCCCTAATCTTATTCATTTACACTTGTGTCCCTTATGTTCAAGTTGGATTATATTCAACATTACAATAGTTGGTCACATATGTGCATTGCATATATGAACAAGTCTTGATCATCCCAAAAAGCAAAAATATAATTGAGTAGCTCCCCTACAAAAAGATATATATTTCTTGGACAACTGCTTCCAGAATGCCAATATGTCTGTGCCCAAGAAACAAAGAATAATTTCAATATTACCCTAAGAAAAAAAATCACAACTAATATATTTAATTATATCTCTATTATATTTATATCCATTTCTTTTATTCTCCTCTTTTCTTCCATTCCCTCCATTTCCTCTTCCTTACCTTCCCCCTAATCTAGCATCAGTGTCTTAATCCTAGGGTAAGGATTCTAGTCCTATCATGCTGGTGTTATTTATTATGGCTAAGTTCAACATCACTCAAGTAAAACATAGTGTACGAGATTGAGTTACAAGAAAGGTGTGCTATGTTAGTGTACACATCCATTTAATATAGGGCATTTAGTACCATTAGGTTTTATATCATAAAAATCATGTTTTTCATTTCCAGTAGGCTCCTGGAAGACAGTAACATATGCAATGAGACCTATAAGAAAAGACAGCTCTTTCGGTTGGTATGGTTTACTTTTTTAAATTGTGTTTCAGATTATGTGGCAGAATTAATGTTAAATATAAGTGTATTAGTGTAAAATATTTCTGTTCATGAAATAAAATATGTTTGGTTACCTCTTTGTAAAGCTTGTTACATAGCTAGTGTTGAAGTCATATTGGATAGTGTGAGATATTCAACTAGAAAGCTATATCTTTGTGTATATAATTCTTTAGTGTTCTTCCTCTGATTTTCTGCTTTTCAAGGGCTAATTTTGGCAGCAAACTGATTTAACATTCCCAAATCAACTTTGGTGAGTTACACTGAGTTAAAGTTTCTCTGACAGGTTGCAATTGTATATACGCTCCCAGCATTGGAAAATAAATCAATGACAACTCTATTTGAGTAGCTAACTTCTGCACCACTACTATCCATCAGAATATTTCAAACAGTATGTTTTTTCAAGCATAGATTTTATTTTCAAAGGAAGATATGAGGTCCCTTCCAATTCTAATGAACCATTTAAATCAAGAGCTGTGTGGGATAAGGGGAAAAGATGACATATATTTTTAAGTTCTATGCTAGACTGGAAGCTCCATGAAAGCAGAGGAACTATACCCATTTTCTCACTATTCTATTAAATGTATGTCTAACATCCATTACAGGGCAAAGGGTACACAATGTTATAAATATACTTAGTATACTGTATACAAGTGTTCTTCAAAAAGTTCATGGAAAGATTCAGATGATCTTTTATTTCTATTTTTCCATGAACTTTTTTTTAATTCAGTATTTTTATTTTTATTTTTATTTTACTCCTCAATATACATTGTAGTTGATTCCTTTATCTGTTCCTCTCCCCCTTCCCCTCCCCCCACACACATCATATCTGTTCACTTGACTTAAATAATTCAAGGAATTTTTATGGTTATTCTGTCTTCTCCCCCCCTTTGTTTTTGTGTTTGCTTATTTATTTATTTTTAGCTCCCACAAATAAGTGAGAACATGTGGTATTTCTCTTTCTGTGCCTGACTCATTTCACTTAATATAATTTTCTCTAAGTCCATCCATGTTGTTGCTAATGGTAGTATATCATCCTCTTTTATAGCAGAGTAGTATTCCATTGTGTAGATATACCACAGTTTCCTTATCCACTCATCAGATGATGGACATTTGGGCTGGTTCCAACTCTTGGCTATTGTAAATAGAGCTGCGATAAACATTGGAGTACAGGTATCCCTTCAGCATGATGATTTCCATTCCTCTGGGTATATTCCCAACAGTGGAATACCTGGGTCATATGGTAGAGCTATCTGTAATTGTTTGAGGAACCTCCATACCATTTTCCATAAGGCTGCACCATTTTGCATCCCAACCAACAGCGTACGAGAGTTCCTTTTTCTCCACAACCTTGCCAGCACTTATCACTCTCAGTCTTTTGGATGTTAGCCATCCTAACTGGAGTGAGATGGTATCTCAAAGTGGTCTTAGTTTGCATTTTTTGGATGCTGAGTGAGGTTGAGCATTTTTTCACATGTCTGTTGGCCATTCGTATATCTTCCTTTGAGAAATGCCTATTCAGCTCCTTTGCCCATTTTTTAATTGGGTTTCCATGAACTTTTTGATGTACCCTCATATATATTTAATGTGTTAATACATTCATGAATATTAGAATTTATCTCTATTGTAGGAAAGGCAAAAACATAAACAAAACCTCTTACCCACTTTGAAGAAAGAAGCTGCCAAGAAAAGTAAATGGATTGTGTGCTTAGAAAGTATCTTTTTGCAGTAAATCTGAACTTAGGACTTCATAGTTAGTAAAGTTAGAGTAACTTGTTCCTTTACACTTTGGACACTTTGGCAGAAACAAAAAACAGAATCCTTTTTTTCTTTTTTTTTTAAACTTCCTTCACTTTTCTAGGTTGAACTACATCATCTAATACGTTTTTCATACATCATTAGACAATTAATTTCTTTTTCACACTTAGAGATTTAAGAAAATAATCTTGCATTTCTCTCTTGAAAACCCAGATAAGGAATAAAATTTATCATTACTCTTGCACTCATGCCTTATGACCTAGTTTGTTTAGACCAATGCAGATAAAATATGGGTTCTTAACTGCAAGAAAACAATTAGTTTCACATAGCTCTAAATCTGCTTCCTAGCCAAAGCTAATATATACTCAGGTTAGCCATCTGAAACATGGATTCCATCACCCACCAAAATCACTGCACAGACACTCTGGAATATAACTTAGCACAAAGGCATCAATTATAATTACACAATTGTAAAAGCAACTGCAAGTGTACATCATTCCTAAGTTGGACAAAAAAAAATACAATGTTGGGAGATGAAAGAAAATAAATGTCATTAGTTATGTTAATGAGCACAGGAACAGAATTAAGAGTATGTGCTTTATGACTACCTTGGGATCAAATTCTAGTTACCAATGACTAGATATCTCATTATCATCATCTTCCTGGATTCCATTACGAGGGAACCAGGACTGGGCTTAGGAAAGATGGGAAGACACTTATGGATATGTTTTCCTATAATGTCTATGATTCCACACCAAATCCTCTTTGATATGGATTTCAATTCTGAACTTCACCTTGCCATTGTAGCGTGAATCATCAATAGATAGAGAAGTATAAAATATGCTTCAATGGGTAAATATCATAGATGTATTACTTTCAGTCTCATTAATGCTAAGTCCTTAAAACAGCAATTTAAGTTCCCTTTTTTAAAATACACAGATCTTGGGCCGGCCCGGTGGCGCACTGGATAAGTGCACCGCTTGGGAAGCGTGGCAGCACTCCCGCCCGAGGGTTCGGATCCCACATACAGACCGGTTCCCGCTCACTGGCTGAGCGAGGCGCGGGAGCAACACCAAGGGTTGCAATCCCGTTGCCGGTCCCCGGTCCGGTACGGGGCAACACTGAGGGTTGCGATCCGTTGCCAGACACGGAAAAAGACAAAAAAATAATAATAATAAAATAAAATAAAATACACAGATCTTGACTTGAGACAATGATTTGAACTTGTGGAGAAGAGGTAAAGAAGTTAAGAAAAATATCTTAGGTTGCCTAATTGACCAAGAGTTGTGGCAAAAGTCTAAACAAATTCCTGCAGCTCTAGAAAAAGCTCTACCAAGGTCAAAGGTACAGAGGACAACACACTAGACTGTACTACATGGGTAGTGGTGGCCAACTCCTTCGCAAAGAAAGGCTCAGTCTCACTGGCACTTAGTGGAAGTGTGGATTCCTCCCATGCAGGTGCAGGGATCATGAGGAGAGGGATAATTAAAGCAGAATTAGTGAAGGAACAAAGGATCACCCCTCTATAGAGAGCTTCCTTCTGATCCATCCTGCATGTTGAGGCTAAGGACCACCACAAATCTTCGAGGCTGTGTTTTTCTATAATAAACATTTCAAATTAACTACAAATGAAATTGTCACATTTCTGTTGCATTCACAGTTGCTAAATAAAGACTAACCCAGACTTTGTCAAAGATAGATCCACATAATCTATCTTTGACATAATAAAAGTCAAATTTGGAGACTAAAAGAGAAACAGCTAGAGTGGAACACCAAGCCCTTGAAAGAGCTATTTTTCCTGCACTCTCCCTCACATGGCTTTTTTGAATTTCACATGAGTTTAAGAACTGAAGTCACCCAGCCATTGGTGAAGGTGTGCCACTTCCTACACACACCCTGGCCTTTTTTCAGGTAGTCTTGTTTATAAAACCAGCCATCTCTGAGATACTGAAAAGGAATGTTTATAGGAAAACATCGACGGAGAATGGCGGGACGCTGAGTATTTTCATCCAATGTTCCCCTCAAAAGTGCTTTTGGTTTAGGAAGCTTTCTGTTACGCTTCCTTCTCTCGCTTTATAAAGTTCCTGTCACAGATTAGCTATTTCATCTTTATTATCTGTTGGATCTATTTACCTTCTTAAGTTTTCTGAAATAAAAGAAAAAGTTTAGTAAGTAAAGTTGAAGCAAAACTTAGAATTGTCTGTGTACCTTCTGTACAATTTGGTTAGTAAGTATTTCAATCAGATATGCATACTTCTAGCATTTCAACAGCACATTATTGACTTTAAAAGAATATTTTTTAAACTAAGCTACTGATCACTTCTGTGAGATTTGAATCAAGACTTGAGTCTGTCACATTGCATACTGCTGTGAAATTAGGGGCTATACTTATTGCCCATGATTTATTTCCCCTTCACATATTTATAATCCATTAGAATCTTAGGGTATTTTAATAATGCATTATTTCCATCTGCAAAAAAAAAAAGCTTTGGAAATATTAATGAAGTTACTTCTTTAAGCAGATTGGAAACCAATGAAAATGCAAATTTCATCAAATCTCTTTATAAAACCCATGCAATTTTGCATACTCCTTAGATACACTCTGGAGTCTTCAAAATTCACTTCCGGCTATTCGTTCTCTTTCAATACATTCACTCTCTTTCTATTTGAATTTCAAAAAAATGTGTTCTTTCACCTAACGAGCTTTTTGTTATTTCCATTAATCCCCTTGGAAAGTTTCATGTTAGTGTATAGTGTTTACACTGTTGTTTTTTTAACAAGTTTTTTTTTTTTTTTTTCAGTGAAAAGTATTGAAGGGCTCTTTCCTCTGACCATGAAGGTTAAACTCACCAGGCAAAAGTCTTACCTTAGGTTAACAAAGTAATTTCTGTGATTTCCATGCTGTCTGTTAAATCCTTAGTGAATACAGATATCTATCTCAAGAGTTGGAAAATTAATTTATAAATAGCCTCTTTTGACTTGTGGGCATTTTTCCGTGGCCAATTACTTAATGGTAAAAAGAGAGGGAAAAACTCTTTCTTTGTGGGAGTTACATTTAGGATTATTTAATATCTTAATTACTTCTGAACATTAATTCATTGTTGATCTGGGGCAAGAGAACTTATGCCCCATCCTCTCCACAAGAGAAGTGAACAATTATATTTTACACCATGTTTTCCTAGTTGTTTCTCCTTCACTGGCAGAGGGATCATGTGACATTTCTGGATTTTCTGTATGTAACATGTGTGTTATGTGTAATGTGTTATCTGTCTGTACATCATCAAGGTATATGTAGTACTGTTTGGGAGGCAACTGGATTAATAGAGTTGTCAAGAAGAGTCTCGTGTAGACAACTCTTCTAAGACAGGCCCTGCTCTGTGCCCACCCACAATGTTCATGCATTGTAACACTGTCCCTGTGCATCTTTCTGGTGGTCGTGTTCCAGGGGTAACAGAGATGGCTCAGGGAGAACATCCAGCAGCCGACAGAGCAGCTCAGAGAATGAACTCAAGTGGTCTGACCATCAAAGGGCCTGGAGCAGCACAGACTCCGACAGCTCCAACCGCAATCTGAAGCCCGCCATGACCAAGACAGCAAGTTTTGGGGGCATCACAGTGCTGACCAGAGGTGATAGCACATCCAGTACCAGAAGTACGGGGAAGCTGTCCAAAGCAGGTAGTTAGTACTAAATGGGTTTATGTCTGTGCTGTTTTCTGGATGCTACATAAGCCATACGGTCACCGTTCCCTCTGACTTTGAGTTAACTAGTGACAATGATATTAATTACAAGGATAGCTGGGAAGTCAGGAGGTACCATTTAAATAGGTTACTGACTTTTGCTAATTATGTGTCTAGGTCAAGTTATTAACCTCTCCAATCTTCAGTTTCCTCATCTATAAAATGTAGATAATTTATTATAGGATGTTACTCCAACCTACCTCAGTAGACTTAACATTTGCTTACTTAAAGTTTACTTAATTTAAGATTACTTACTTAATTTAAGTTTACTCAGTAATATCATTTATATAAAAATGGTTACCATGGCAATGGCACCTGCACATGGTAACTACTTAACAAAGTTAACTATCGCTTTTTAATCTAATAGTATTATTTATTCCTTACAACTACTCTGTAAGGTAATTATAATATTAATAGCTTTGGTTCTTGCATTGGCATCCTGTTTCTATGAACCTGGGCATATTATTTAATCTAGGTGTGCCTCTGTTCCCTCATCTGAGAAATGGAGATAATAATAGTACCTATATTGCAGGGGTTTTGTGAAGACTAAAAGACTCAAGACACACAAAGCAACTCAATGCCTGGCAAGATATTAGCCCTCAATGAACACTAGTTCTTGCTCATTTTTATTATTGCCATTTAATGTTTTCATCCCTGCTTTGCAGATAAGGAAAGTGAGTCTCAGAGAGGTTTAGGGTTTCCAAGTTGACAAGTTGATGTATCTTTTTTTCTGGGTTTTTTTTTTTTTCCTCTAAATTCCCAAGTGAATAATAGTATTTTGAGGTAGGTAGTTTAAGTTTGCATGGCCAGTCTTTGGGAGATGAGTGATGATGAGAGAACTGGGTACCATTAACTTGAAACAACTTTAAACTGATAGAAGCATGACACCAGGGTGCTTATGTGAGTCTGCAAAATAACCTCCTGCTCTGCCATTCCTAGATCTTCTGTCTCCCAGAATCCCTCGCCATTGTTTTCTAATTATTTTCTGTTCATGATTAAAATTCCTCATAAAATCTCAGGAAGTTGATTCAATAGCACTCCATGGACTTAAGTTTGTGGTTTGGGTATGTAATTGTTTTTGCTTTGTGTTGTTTTGCCTCAGAAAATCAGACTCTCTGACTCTCGCTAGGATGTGTGGTTGAGAGTTGGGAGTCAGTGATATGCCCCGGGGGGTAGGATGTGCTGGTGGAGCACTCATGAGCCTGGGGGAACAGGTGAGTGGGGGGCCAGGACAGCGGGAGATGGCGGATGGAGAATCCACTTGGAGTGTAGTCATGGGCTGTCCTGGGCTATGAATACTTTCTGGATCAACCTTCAGACACATGCTGGAGTGGGAGGGAGGGAGAGGGGACTGCAAAATTTAGTTCATTATGCTGATGGTTTAACATAAATCCTCCTATGCAATTATCTCATGTTTTCCTACAAAAAAATTAATAGTATTTAGTCACAGCCACTGCTTTATATGTGTGTGTGTATATGTATATATGTATCGTGCTGCCTTCTTGTAATTTTTATTTATCAATTGTTGAGGTCTTGATTTCTTCCTCTAATTAATTGCTCTCATATCCCACTACTGCAGCAACTGAAGTCAAGAAAATCCACTGTGGTACACTTGAGCTCCTGTAAACTAAGAAAGGTTAAATAGTTTTAAATCTCTTTAAAATGCGGAAACCAAGTACCTTAAATGGTGCACTTAAAAATTCCAGCACACCAAAGAGCTCTTAAGATTTTTAAATTAATCGTCATTCTTCATGCACCAACTCCCAATTGCTTCCAAAGCAAAGCTCTTTGGAAACATTTAAAACACTTTAAGAATGCTAAAATGCCATGTTCTTTGAAAAATGATCAGAGATTGTAAGTGCTTCACACTTTTTTTTTTCTGTTAACCTAATGTCTCCATTTGAAAGCTTGTCAAGGTGTAGGCATGGAAAAGGAAAAAAAAAATTAGAGGAGATCAAGATAGGATGTCAAAACAAACTTACAATTTCCCAAGGTGGTTTTATGAAGCAAAGCTGTCAGTTTTGCTGTCATGGAACTTCAGAACAGCACAAGTTTCAAATTTTTTATCTCATTGTTCACGGTGGAATTGCAAACTTTTTTTTGACCTTTCAGAAACCAAGTCTGGAGTTGTGACATTTAAGTTACCCTTCTCTTCCTCTAATTACATAGGTTCTAGCTTTAAAGAGATAATAATGAGACTTTTTCCATGTAAGAAACATGTTTTCCTACAGTTTGGGGAAAAAAGCATACTACTGAAGTCTGCATGTCCAAACACGTTCTGTTGAGGCCCAGGCTGTTTGCCAGATGCCCAGCACACATTTGTGGAGGTAGACGAGGCCATTGCACCCTCCTGGGAAGAGCACTTGAATGACACTTGTGCTGCAACCTCAGCTGTTCCTTGGTAATGGCAAAGTGGTTGATAAATGAGAGGATGACATCTGTTTCTTCCCACGGTGGCCAAACTACCCTGTTTTACTATCGCCCCCCTTCTTGATCCTCCAGAGCAGCAGTTCTCAATTTTAGCTGCACCAGAAAAACCTGAAGGGCTTGTTAAATCAGATTGCTGGACACCGCCCCCGGAGTTTTGAGTCCAGGACCTCTGGGATGGGGCCTGAGAATTTGCATTTCTGACAAGTTCCCAAATGATATTGATGCAACTGGCCTGGGAAACACACTTTAAAAACAACCACTCTGGGGCCGGCCCGGTGGCGCACTGCTACAGTGCGCCGCTTGGGAGCACGGCGGCGCTCCCGCCGAGGGTTTGGATCCCACATACAGACTGGTTCCCGCTCACTGGCTGAGCGAGGTGCGGGCACAACACCGAGGTTTGCGATCCCATTGCCGGTCCGGTCCGGTATGGGCGTGACACTGAGGGTTGCGATCCGTTGCCCGACACGAAAAAAGACAAAAAGGAAAAAAAAAAAAAAAAACCACTCTGTGAAGAAATAAGATGTCCTTCTGTTTTGTTTTAATAATTTAAGGTAGCATGGTGTATTGCTTTCTGGATGCAGGGGTATTGTTACTGTCATCGCACTCCTTGTCTATTTCTTAGAGTATTTGGGGGTCTAATGCAAGACACTTCATCTTTGAACCACTTCCTCTTCTTTGTATTTATTTTCCTTACTACACTAATACATCCTGGATATTCTCCTCCTTGTAATCGCAGAAAGAAAAAAAAAAAACTTTATGTTTTGGAGTCCTTGTTAAAGAAAAATCGCACCAGTTGGGTTAAACAGGTGAGGAGTTTATTTATAACTATTGCAGTAGGGAATCAACATTACTGTGACAAGGAAAAGAGACAAAACACACCGAATCAAAACACAGGAGAGTTTTGAAGCACTGGGGTGAGCTAGTGGAAACGTTTTGGAGGATTTTAGAGAGGAGGGTTGGTCAATGTGATGAAGCCATCTGTGTTTGCTAATTGGCACTTACGGAAGTTAGGCTCTTGCCCTCCAACAGAGACTGGGAGACAGGGGCGCTATTTTTCTTGATGACTCCATTTCAAAATGATGGCTCCCAAGTCCTTAAGAAAGACATTTCTGGATTGTAAAATTGGCAAGAAGCCAGGAGAAGCCTCTTAAATGGACAGAAATGGTCTAAGAAAAGGAAGATGAGGAGCTTCTAGTCTAGAAGAAACCTCTAAAGTTTGTTCAAGCTGAGGGGAACGTTCAGACCGTCTTCCTCATCGTTACTCACCATTCAGTCTGCTGGCATATATTTTACAAAAGAGCATACTGAGGGTTGAAAGAGTAGTCAGTTCCTGAAGAAAACACAGCTAGCAAGTGGCAGATCTAGAACTAAAACCCAGGATCCTTCCTCCCTGGGGCATGTTTCCTCCACATGAAGGGAATCTGCCCATGCCTTTTCCTTTCTGCCCTGCTCCCTTTCTCATTTTCCATTTTGCTTTGCCTTGTAATCTCTTTTCCTATCTTTTTTCCATTTCCTCCTCCTTTTTTTCCCTGTCTCTCTCTTGAGTGTTCACCTGAGTCTCTAACCCAGACACCATGACATCTTCTCCCTTCCTCCCCCAACTGTCCCTTAGGGTCCAGCTTCAGCTTCTGAGCATCCCACTGTGAGTAGCATCAAATATCTGTCTAGTATCTCCTAGAACATGGCACAGGCTTGGTTAGGGTTCTGGCCCCACCTGGCCCTTGCTGAAATGATGCAAAGGTAAGGACATGACCTGCGGGCTTACAGCACGGCCCACAGAGTCAAGTTGCTTGGGTTTGAACTCACACTCCACCACACACTAAGTGACCTTAGGAAATTAATTTAATATGTCTAAGGATCAGGTGTCATCTTCAAAATGAAGTTGCTGTGAAAATTAGGTTAGACAGTTCGTATAGAGTGACTAGCATGGTGTGTGTTGCATGGACATACTGTTTAAATATTTGCTGTGGCTATTGGTAAGCCCCTAAGAAAAGGAAACCAGTAGCAGTTTTAACTCTCATCACTCCAGATCCTAAAGTTCTCAGATTTCAATTTCAATTTTTTAAAACATTTTTGAACACTTCTCCTCCTGTTCCTGTTATCACAATTCCTAGCATCCATTTTTTTTCCCAGAATTTCCATAATTCAGGCTGTGTGAGGAGTATTGCTCTTTCTGATCTAGGTTATTGCTCTACCTGATCTAAGTGATCAGTGTTTACAAGCTGGTCAAAGATGATCATAAGCTAGCCAGAAAGGCCGGTTCCTAAGCCCCAGCTGTATGTTAATTGCTGATCCACCCTTCCGAGAAGGTTTGACATTATCTTTGCAAGTATTGACAGGTTAAGCCAAATGTAATTTTTAGTCCTTTCCTTAACTTTTGGAATCAAATCATTTGCATTGTCCTTCCTATTGATGCTGCTACTTTTCCCCCAGATGATAGAGGGGAGTGATATTGTAAATCAGTGATTAATGGCCACCTTTCTAAAGCCAGAATTAAATCACTCTTTGGATTTGATTGTTGCACTTCAGTGTGCATATATCAACTATTCTCCCCACCCCCAATGCACACACCCATGCAAGCACTAGCTCACACCGCAAATCATAGTTGTGACGACATGTTTAGCTGGCCCCAATTCTTTCTCACTGTCTATCCCTTCAGCCTAAAGATGAGCTGGATCACCTTAGACATCTGAGTGCAGGAGGTTGCATTGTATTATTTCGGTTGTTGCTGCTGCTGTAGTTGTTGACTGTGCTCTAGTGTCAAACTTGTACTGTAGCATTTAAATCATACATGGCAAGTCCGTAAACAAACACTATCGTCTTCATTGGGACTATGACCTCAGAGTCATAATTTTAGTGATGTGGTCTCAGAACTATTCTTCACATTTTCAAAATTTCTCTTTCATCCTTTTATTTTTCTCTCCATGCATTATTCAGAGCCCCATCAGCATTCTAAACCATTTCAGATGGAGCATCCTGAATTAACCTGAAGTTTTATCATTATTAATAATCAAATCATGGGGAAAGCAGAGAGGAGGTACAGCTTAGGACACTTGTGACAGTCCCTGATATATGTACATGCACACTTTTGGGAGGCAGTGTGGGGTCATGGTTAAAGCTTGGGCTGTAGATCAGTCTGTCTAGATCCAATCCGAGCTCTTCCATTTTCTAGCTAATGTAAGCTGGCTTCAGTTATCTAACTTCTCTATACTTCAGTTTCCCTAATTATATAAGCAGCAATAGTATTTATTATTAAAGTGTTTATCCAGGTGCTTATGCATGCTAATGTTCACTAAGTATTACTATTCTCCTCAAAAATTTTCATACTCTCCAATTGCCCCTTTTCTCTGCAACTTGTTGTATTCATATCACTAATTTTAAAAGGTCTCCAGTTTAATTTAGGAGCACATTTTTAGAATCTTGTAAAGAATGTTAACTATTGCTTATGTATTTTTGACCTTTAACGACACAGAGAAATGCATTTTTAATGACATAAATAAACTGTCGTGAGGGAATGATTTAATAAATGTCTTGTACTACATTCTTGCAACCTATGATATCATCCAAATCATCTATTAGTTTGAATTTACAGTACTAGAAATTTTTCCTGGTGTGTTTTCTCTCAGATGCTCTAGTTAGTGCTTAGTACCCAGAACAGCCATGGTTAATGGTGCTGGAGCTGCTTGGCTCTTGCTGCAGTGAAAGGCAGTGAGTGCTCGATGGATGTGGGATGTGGCAGGTATTTCTCCCTTTGTCCCTAGTGTAAGGAGAGGAGAGATAATTAGAATCTACCTGGGGGGCTTCTGTACACTGTTCCAATTTAAGTATATGTTTGAGAAATCCACAGTCCACAAACATCCCCATAATTTTATTCTTCTGTGTCATCTGAAGGATGCTTGATTATTATGAAGGCCAAGCACTCGTTGGTCCACCCTTTGGACATATTAATAAGAGTTCTTCAAATGTGTGAAATACAGTATGGCATCTTAAGCACTTAAATATATTGTATTAATTAGAATAGCAATACCCACCCCATATTTGTCACATAATTTGTGCCTGGCCCAATATTTGATTCCTTGTATCCTTTTTGTAAAATTCTTAATATATAAAGCCTATGTCATTTCAACTTTACACAAAAAGAAACTAATATTCAATGGTTTAAAGTTACCCCTGGTCAGAGGTTAAAAAAGATAGAGTTCTGAGTCATCCACCTCTCCCTGACTTTCAATCCTACACACGTTCCCCAAAATCATGCCACTCCTTAAAAGAGATTGTATTTGATTTATAAATTTTTTCACTCATATATGCCATGCTCCCAATAGGAATAATCCAGTTCTTCTACACACATGTGAGGGGGAAAGATTATTTCTGACCATGCCCCTTCAAAATTCAGCTGGACGGGTGTGGGAGAACCAGTATTTTAGAACATATATGTGCCCAGCACATCACAGGACTCCTCTTGAAAATGCAGTCTCTTTAAACTCCATCCAAGTCATTTTATTCCTATCATTCCAGCTCAGTAATACGTTTCCATGGCATTAATTTCTTGAGGATATGGGAGTTTGCAGGTACTGAGTTCAGAGACTTAGAATACCATAAGGCTTAAAGAAAAAGAGTGCTCATTCTTAATCCCTCTTCCTAGAAAATTGACATATCTGAAAAATATGTAGCAAAGATTTCAATAAAATGTGAGCCCCAAATATAGGAGGGGCATTAGTTAATCTCATCTGGCAGCACACGCTTCAAATTCTTTACTGATGGATTGTAGAAAAGTAAGCATTTAGACTCAGATCTGTGCTTTCTCTCCTCCTGCTTGTGTTGAATGCTTTGTTGATTTCTATCCCTATGCCAGGTTCTGAGTCTTCCAGCAGTGCAGGCTCCTCAGGATCGCTGTCTCGTATCCATCCACCTCTCCAGAGTGCACCCCTGGTCTCAGGCGTGGCAGCTGGTTCCCCAGGTTGTGTGCCCTATCCAGAGAATGGGATGGGGAGCCAAGTCACTCCCAGCAGCACCAGCTACATCCTCCTTCCCCTGGAAGCTGCAACAGGCATCCCACCTGGAAGCATCCTTCTTAATCCACACACAGGTTAGTTACTACCTGCTTTATCGGGGACACAAGGTTATCAGAGGTTTGTTCTTGTGTTTGATCTTATGAATTTGCTAGAAAGCTTTCTGAAAATTTCTGAACAGGAGAGCTGGGTGCATGAACTGCTATGTAGCATCTTTGTTTAGGAAAAACAAAGATGTAACTATATCTACAACTTCATGTCTATATTGATATTGCCACAGACGTAGATGCTTCTCAGAAGCATACAGTTTTCCTCTCTGTCCTCTTTTCCCTGACCACATGTCTCTCATACATTCCTAGAAGCTAATATCAGAGAAAATAGTGTGATGAGCTGAAATATACTAATTTAAACTTTGCTCTTTTCAGACTAAATCTTTGGGTAGCCTGCATTATGTCAAAAGTGTTTTTGCATCTGGGGATATTTCAGGAATTTGACGTATTAATTGAAACCTGCAGTGGACTCTTAACTACAGAAGTTGCTTTTTCACTTTAGAACTTCACCCAGTGCCTGCAGGGGATTAAGGAATACCCGTGGCAAAGACAATACAAAGAGGAAATTCTCATGTATTTAGGAAAGTTAGCCCTAGACTGGTTTTGGTGTGGTTTGGAATTTTTCACTTCATGGTTTTCATTTCTTCTGTGATGATTGGCCATTGCTTCTTTAATTTTGAATTTCTTTAGTGGATTAATTAACTTCTGCTTTGATCCCGAAGGAACAAGGACATTGAGATCCTAACATCAGCAAATAGACTGAGGAAGATCTGCTTCATGAGGGAAACTTCTTGACCACAGGCAATTTAGTCCATGCCCCAAAGCCATTTGGCAATATCTGGAGTTGTCTTAATTATCACAACCTGGGGAGGAGGAGGCTGCTACTGGCTTCTAGTAGATAGAGGCCAGAAATGCTACTAAATATCCTACGATGCACAGGGAAGTCCTTCACAACAGAGAATTAGTCCAAACTGTCCATAGACCTGTGGTTGAGAATCCCTTGTTTAGAAAGCTTGAAATTAACTAGTCATTCCTTAAGAGGCCTTTATTGGTGATTGAGGGAAAAAAATAGAATTGTCTTGAAATAGATCTGAGGTTTGATTTAGATCATTCCAGAATATTGCTTCAATTAGCTAAGCTTGAAAATGCAATACTGGATGAGTATCTCATAAAAGTGATCTGACTCAATCTTCTCACATGTTTAGTGCTGCTAGTAATTAAGAAATTCAGTGAAACATGAGAGCTAAAGTAAAATAGTTACTTGAATAATTGCCACTTTTTCATAAAACATATGGCACATTCTCAAGGCATGGTGTTTGATTGAGACATTTTGAAAATGCCATAAGCTTGAGGGAAAAGAAGACATAATCATTTTATTGAAAACTATTTGATAGCTTCATATTGAAACTTCTGAGGATTTTTGGCTCACTTTGATATTATTTGGATTACCATAAGCACTATATCAGAAATTAAAAGACTAGGATCATATTCATTACTCTGGGCACTGATTGAAATATGATCTGTCTCTATTGGCTTAAATTCTTCCACTTTTAATTGAGATGAAGAGTTTGCAGAAAACACACATTTCAGCATTTGTTTTGAGTGGTTTGCTTTAAGCAAAATTACAGTGTTTCAAAAAAGCTCAACAGTGTGTTTTTTAGGGTATAATGCAAGAACATTATTTGTAATAATAGCATGGTTCTGCATGTGTATGTGTATATTATCATCTATAATCTTGTTTATAGAGAAAAGAAATAGAGTGCTGACTGGTGCTCAATTCTTATTCATTAGACTGAGTCATTTAAAGCTGCTATCAAAATATCTTTTTGAAAAAGGATCCCAGCTAAGGAAAAGTATGTAGTACCACTGTTGAACAGCTTCTCCATACATGTTTTTCTAATCTGACAAATGCTAGACATTAAAATATCCCTTGACCAGAAGGAAAATGTACTATTATATTGTATACGATAGTTGAGTGGTGAGATGCAAGGTGAATTATTATGCTTCTTCTTTTCTAGACTGTGTTTACTTTTGTAAATTGAAAACATACACATGTATGTGTATGTATATGTATATATCACATACTTAATATGTATATGTATGTATATGTACATCCGTGATGTATGTGTGCATGTATGTGTATGTATCTATCTGGAAATTTGCCTTCTTTGGTCTGGAACTCATCTTCTTTCTCGGTCATCACTGTGAACTTCTAGAAACCACATCACTCACTCCCATGTACACAGCAGAAATACTTTGGTGTTAGAACTAAGAGCATATGGCTACTTTGCCTCTCTTGTGAATTGCCCTTGGGTTCTTTTTGTCGTTAGCAGCACATTTACAAGCTCCTTGTGGGGCAGGGCCATACTTAGCTATATTCTATTTATTTAATTTTTTGGCTTCCCCAGAATGGATAACAAACTCTTGGGCACCATGCAGGTACTCAATAATTACATATTATTGAAATAATATCTACTACTCACTACAAACATGTTGATGTGGCTAGTGGGGCAGTTTTCACCTAATGTCACGTATTTGAGAGGAGTGAGCACTCTGCATTTAATCCTTCCTGCTCTGAGCTCCAGGCACCCTGGCTTATCTCTCTCACTTGTGCCAACACTGAGGCCAGGGCCTGCTGGGCATGCTTGTGCAGTTTCTGACCTGAACACCTCCTCTATGTTGAATAGGCCCGAGGCCAGCCAGTTTTTGTTTCCCCCTTCGGTCTTCAGCTGCTGTCAGTCTAACTACTTGCTTGTATTCAGTTGTGACTGCATCTAGACTGGTAGAAATCATAGAATGTGGAGAGGCTGTCATTGTCTGACTTGAAAACCATTGGTCATCTCTCCTAGGTCTCTTAGGAAACTGCTTTTGTTCTCTTCCCTGGTATCCGTCTTACTTTTGTATGTTCCTCAGTTCTTTCCTTGGTAAACACAAAAATCAATCTTTTATGCTCTCTTCCCATTCCAGAAAAACTGCCATCTCTTTCTACTTAAAGGAATTCCAAGTACTTTTCATATGCGATCTTTCTTCTGGCCCACGGCACATTAATCATATTTCAAACAGAGGATCTAGAATGCATCAAAAAGGACATCTGAATATTTTGGGGTTATGTTTTTAACTCTAATTATTGTCAGGTTTTCACTCTTCCTTCTCACTGAACTAGGGTGGAATTGAAAGCCATACAGAAATAAAGATCCTTTCTTTTTATTTTCCATTGTGTGTGTGTGTATGTGTGAGCACAGAGTAACACTGATTTTGAAACAATTTCAGATATACTTGTCACTCTGGAAATTTTTTTTTAAAGTGAAATATCAAAATTTTCCTATTGTCTTTCTAAAGTACAAAACAAATAAAGAATGAGAAAACTAAAGATTAGAACACTATAAGGGCTGATAGATATCTGGAAATTTAAATATTTTTTTCATCCTGACCCAAATTGCTGGTTTGGGGGTAAAAAATGGGTTTCAGGTTATGAATCTGGAAGAAAGTTATATTCTAAAAAGAAAACAAAGTTAGAACAGTAAAATGTAGCTAAAACTAAATGACAGTGATAGGAAAACAAGTCCCTGGAATATGAACTTTAAAAAAAGGAGAGAACACTCAACTTAGTCATTGTTCTGTGAATGCGATTCGGCTCATTGCTTTCCCATCCCAGCACGTGTTCGTTGGTTATGAAACTGTTATCAGAACATCCTTAGTTCTGGCGGGTATGTTCATGAATATGCAATATTTAAAGTTTCTTTTTACATGCACACAAATATATCTGGGCTTATAATGTGGGGTAATAATAGCGAATGCCAAGACTCTGTTCGGGTCCTAAAAGAGCTGAGGTCAAGTCTGTTGCTGTCTACCTGTGAGCATTTTGTTCAGCTTCACAACAAACTCAGCATTTCCCTCCCCAATTTATTCCACTTTACAATCTTAATTTAATTTATTGAGGTATAAAATGCATAGAGGAAGTGCATGCCCTGCATATATCTGAAGTGTAGGCCTTGGTACACTTTTGCATATGTGAACACCTGTGTAAACATCACCCAGAATGAGACACAGAACATGTCTAGTTTTCCACTAGGCTCCCTCCCATCCCCTCAGAGGTAGCACTCTTCAGACTTCTGTTACCATTGATTAGTTTTGTCTGAACTTGTACATAATAAAATGGGATTATACAGCAGACGCCCTTTCATGACTGATTTCTCTCACTTAGGATATATGGGTTAATTTGCTTAGCTTTCATTTTATAATAATCTGTTCTTGTTATACAACAATCATATGTACTTTTTTCACTAGAATATTGTTTCCTCTGGGTTTTTAGATCTTACCTCTCTGTTCTGCTCTCTTTTGTTGCTGATTTTTCTCATGTGGCTGATGATCCTTGGTTGTTCTTCATATATATTACTAAAAACAAGGCTGGTTTCCTCTGCCATCACACACTTCTTACCCTGGATAAGAATGCTTATGCAAGCTCTGTGTATCAGAACAAGCCTGGACTGGGAAGCTTCAGAATGTGTGCATGAGAGGAATTCAGCATACTGCCTCTGCTGTCTTTCTAATGCCAAGATGAGTAGGACTCTCCTCTGAGACACCAACACCATTCTGGGAGCCCTATTACTCCCAGTTATTCTGGTCAGGTTCCTAGAAAACATTTCCATAACTTAACCTTGTAGGCAGACATTCATACTATTTTTTGTAAAACAGGGTCACAGGAGTTATGGGAAAAGGAAGAAAGGACTCACAAATAGTTCTACAAGCAGTTTGCCAATCTGTTCTTCCGTGTTCTAGTTCTTATTCTTTGTCTGCCAATACAGGGCATGATTCCACCTTGCAGCATGTCCACCTCTCGTGACTTACGCATTGATTAATGATTTTCAGTTATGATTGGATTTTTTTCATGGTACCTAGTTGTACCACGTAAATATTATGTAAGCTTGGATATTTCACTTAGGTAATTTGGCATAATGGAAAGGGAATGGACTTTGGAGTCATACTCACAGGGTCATTTCCTGGCTCTCTTACTTACTGACTTTTACATCTCTGAATAATTGCTTGGTTCCTCTGAGCCTTAACTTTCTTTCCTCTAAAGTGAAAAGGAGATTATATACCTATGGGGTTGCTGGAAGAGCTAAGATCACACCTGTGCTTGCCATATTAGAAATCGGTTTGTTTTTTCTTTTACCTCCACTTTCTCTCTCTTTCATTTGTTGCCCTTTTCTCTCCTCCTTTCAGCTCCTATTCTTATAACCTTTCTCTTTAGCCTTCATTTTCTTTTCTGAAAAACAGAGATGAGAACTTCCTTCCTCATGGGATCATGATGAGGTTTAAATATAAAGCAATATTATTGTCAAAAGCAGTAATAATAATAATAGTGAACCATGACATTATTTTATAAGGCGAAACAACGTATATTAGCTTCTCTATTGCAAGAGGATTCTGTGATGAATTTATTATGCATTACCTTTAAAATCTAAAACTGTGTATACCTGGTTGTGCCTCTCTAGAGGAGTGATTGAATGGATGTGTTATGTTCTGTTGCATATATATTCATAGAACTGATAATGATTCTGAATGGGTGACAAAGCTTAGTGGAAGCAACATAAATGTACTGATAAATAATTTGTGACTGAATGTAGCCAGAGTTGTGTAAATGGAAAGCAGTGTATGTTATCTTGCTGATGCCCATGAGGTGCAGGGCAGCCAAACACACTACTTAGCAAAGGTTGCTTCTCCGCAGGCTTTTCCACTGGGCACCACTGTCCACAGATACACTTGGCTTTGGCAAAGCTCCCTCAAGGTGTTGGATTTATTCGTTGCTTCTTAAATTGCTATGGGCTTACACTGTCATCTAGCTTAAGCGGATGGGTCACAGTCAAGTCTTCCCATTGGTGAAGGTTCTGATGTCTTGGATTCCTACTCTGAAAGACCTGCCCCTTTGCTTAGGTTACTTGTTGAGTATCTATTAGAGTGGTTCTTTTTGCCAAAGAAGAGATTGAGTAGCTCACCTGCACCGAGCTATGATTCCATTGCAGGCCAGCCTTTTGTGAATCCCGACGGAACTCCTGCAATATACAACCCACCCACCAGCCAGCAGCCCCTGCGAAGTGCAATGGTGGGGCAGTCCCAGCAACAGCCCTCTCCTCAGCCTCAGCAGCAGGTCCAGCCACAACAGCCACAAATGGCAGGCACACTGGTTACTCAGGTAAGGAGATGGTTGGAATGCAGGGAGGGGAGGTCCTCTGAGATGGAGGCTGCATAGTCCCCAGGTGGCAGTGCATCCTGGAAGAGGGATATATTTTGCAGTGGTGCCACCCCATGCACTCAAGCCTCATAAATAAACCCTAGCAGCCAAGAGTCTTTGGTTGCAGATTGACAGATTGATTTCATCTGGATCCTTAAGTTTAAATAGAGACCAGTGTCTCATTCAGTGGCTTGCAGGGTGAGACCATGGTACTAAGGAAAATGAACAAGTCTTTTCTTATGGCTTTTTCTTAAGGTCTATTTGCCATTTTTATTTATAAAGGAGCTTCTGTCTTAGAGGCTGAATTTATAATCCCATCCAGGACTTTGCGTCATCTTGCTCAGCCATTCTCGTTGCAGATCAAATGCTCATGTCTGCAAAGAGTCAGTACTGAACTCTACAGAAATCAGTCAACCCAAAATGGACTGGCTGTTCATCCTTACTCCCCTTAGACAGATGCAGAGCTACCCTCTTTCCTAGGGAGACACATGCACATGTCCACAGAAACTTGAAGTACTCCAGGTAGGCTGCCAAAGTGAACCTCCTCTTTCCTTTATTTATTCTTTTTTATTTCTTAGTTCTTGGGCAATATTTTTAGACCCAAAGAATCTAACCAACAACAACATCAAACTTCCATCAGGAAATTCTTAAAGGAGTTAAGAAGGCAATTGAGCCTCTCTCCAGGCTGTCTGGCTCAGGTCTGCATGGCCTTGACTTTTCCCTGGTGGCTGGTTCCCCTTTCTGAAGTGCACTGAATTTAGAGGATCTGTAAGGGACAGTGGTGTGCTTCCTGTGGGATTTCAACCCTTGTGCTTTCCTGTTCCCTGATCAGCTGTTTCTTTCCTCCAGTCTGTCCAGGGGCTGCAGGCTTCCTCCCAGTCAGTACAATATCCGGCAGTCTCTTTTCCTCCCCAGCATCTCCTGCCTGTGTCTCCAACGCAGCACTTCCCCATGGTACTGTATTACATGTAAATGACTTTTTTCCCTGGGAGAGCATATACACTGGTTTTACTACTTTCTGTTCAGTACTGGCTGACACTGGGTGGGTGCCCTAGGCTGACTGTAAGGGTGTGTGTGTGGATTTCTCATTCCTGTATTGCAGAGCCCATCTCTGCAAAACAATGGTTTCCTTTCTGTCATCTGTCTGTCCCATGTTGAGTGCTTCTGTGGTCTGGTACACTTTTAAAAGTTTACCAGCTAAGCAGAAATTGAATGCCCTCAGAGTCAGAAGTCAGGAGCAGAGAGAGACACATGAACTTGGTATGAAGGTTTGGGAAATATCTCAAAGTAAGTGTCAGGATGGAAACCATCATCACCCTACACTCCTGATACAGGTGCTACCTTATGACCCCAGTCCCTCAATTTCCTTTAATTTTCCCTTCAGTGCACTAGGTCCTTTCAAGCAACAGCTTAAGATGTGAGCATTACCCTTAAATTTCAGGCCAGGCCAGTGCCATGGGAACCTAATCTAGGAATGTAATCCCACCAGGCTGTTAGTGACACAGTCCTGACTCCATCTTTGCAGCAGCAGTAGGTAGTGATGAGTGTGGTGCTTCTGCCTCTCTCCAGAAGGCACATCCCATGGGTACTGCTGGGAACCCTGGCTGACTCTTCAGGACAGAACACCAAACCTTCCTTGTCTATAGTACATCCTGAGGAACCCAAGCTCTCAATGACAAAATAATAATTTGCTTCCATTGAAAGATGGAGATTTGAGTCAAATTGTTGACCATCTCTGACCCTCAGGATGACTAAAACCTGATTTTTGTGTTACGTTCTCCTGCTATGTTCTAGCTGTAGAATTCCTTTATTTATTTATTTATTTCCCAAATTATAGGTCCTCCCTCTCCCACAACTACAGGTGTGTGTCCTGTGTCTGCCTCAATGCACCTCTCTCATTACCAAGCCAATCTTGCTGATTTTCCTCATTTATTCCCATGGCTCACAGAGAGATGATGTGGCAACTCAGTTCAGCCAGATGAACCTGAGCCGGCAGTCCTCAGGAGAGACTCCTGAGCCCCCTTCAGGCCCTGTCTACCCATCTTCCCTCATGCCACAAGCAACTCAGCAGGCAAGCTATGTCATCGCCTCCACAGGCCAGCAGCTTCCAACAGGGGGGTTCTCAGGCTCTGGCCCTTCCATCTCCCAGCAAGTCCTCCAGGCCCATCCCTCACCACAGGGATTTGTGCAACAGCCTCCACCTGCACAGGTAGGTGTGTTTTTTCTCACACCTGTGACCTGCAGCTGATTTGCAGTACATTTTGACCTCTATCTTTCCATGTAGAATATTGCCAGATCAACCTGTCTTGCCCTTCTGGTCCATATTAATATTCCTCACCAACAGGACCTAGTCTGTCCTTCTATTCACAGTTTGTGCAGAGTCTTGGAGCTCTGAAAGTAAGTTGAATAAAACTGACCCTACTGCCCATGGCACAAAAGAGGAATATCTCCTTTTCTAGGCTGCTGGAAAAGCATTTCCTCTCATGTGATGTCCTGCTCATGAGGTTGCCCAGGAAGCGGCAGCCTTGGGGAAGGGAAAGGCTTGCACCTAGGGGACTTTCAATCTTCTCTTCCTGCTGCTCAGAAAATGTGTTTTTTTCCTTTCTTATCAATTCACAAGCATTTTCTGGAGCTAATCTGGTGCTCCAGGCAGGAGCTCCTCTATGAATATAAAGGAGGAAAGTGAGCTGATATCAACTGTCCTTTCCTCTCCCTAAGGGGAAGCAGAGCTTGTGTGCTCTCACAGGTAGCCATTAATCATATTTAATTGACTTGAGTATGTAAGACACCACAGATCACTGATTTTTACTGTCTTCTGAAAGACTGATTATGTGTTACTGTTCACCACCAAACATCTCTGGTGCTCTCCTGGGTATCCCTTGCAGAATATTGGAAGTGATTACTGTCAAGATGCAAAATGCACAGAGGCATTTTCTGGCCCATTTTCACGGCACACATAAACCAAGCAAATTCCAACCTAATTATGAAGTACTGCACTGGCTGAGCTGTTTAAAGTGCACTGCCACCTTTGTATCCTTTGTTTCACTGCCTTAACATCTTGAATAAATTATTTTCTTTTCAAGCCACACAAAACCCTCTACCATGAAATGATCATCACTTAGTTGTTCATTTTATTTTGAGTGATTAACTAATAGTTCATCTTCAGTCACCTTCTCTGTAATAACCCTTCGCTAGTGGGATTTAAGGATATATATAAAATAGTTTTAAGTTACAGGAGAAAAGCCTTCGTTGATATATTCATTACTTTACTAATAAATTAAATAGTTCAAGTTTAATTATTGAGAAAAATAATTTAGCTCTATTAACCTACATAACATCTAAGTGTCCTTATCCATTTCTGATGTCAAAGAGAAGAGTTGGAAGAATGTTTAAGTGAAGACTTTAAAAAAGAAAAATACCTTCCCTGATGAAGGAATTTTCATATTAACACACTGCGGGAGCACAGATAATTCAGAATCCCTCTTCATTCCCTCTTCAACAGATTTGAAAAATAGAAAGGGAAGGAGACAAAACAGATGTTCGTTGTTCATGGTTAGTCTGGACATACACAAACGTGTTTTTTAAAGAACCACAGATAAAGGTATAGGATATAACTCACAGTGACTTTCAATTTAGCAAACATTTTAAAATCTGGTTACCCAACGATGGAACAATGAAAAGAACTTAACTGAGATTTAGCTCACAGATGTGTGTGTGTGTGTGTGTGTGTGTGTGTGTGTGTGTGTGTGTATGGAAATATGTTAAATTTATGCACAAAATGAACCTATTTCATAAGCTTGAAAGTTCAGTTCGTCTGACTCATCATGTGCGCATTCTAAATGACCACCGGAAAGGTTAGGTGGGAAGCACGTGAACAAGGTAAAGAGGAATTTGAGGAAGGGAAATGGGAGAGGTGCTTATTTTTTATAGTTTCTTCTTTCTCTTATTTATTTTTATACTCCTAATCTGCACTTATTTTTGGATTCTTTATATTTTAACATGGTTAGTTGAAAATATACATTTCCTCCCTTTTGGACTATCCTTACTCCTTTCTCCCTTCCCTTCTCTCCCTTTAAACCTTTCATATTGAACCTTTAAAAGATTCCTCTTAGCCTGGTTTGCCTTCCTTCCTCTCTGAAGGAAGATGAGGATGGGCCCAGTGCCCATTTGCACTGTATGGTTGGGGCCACAATTCCTAGGAGGTGGCCAGTGTTCTTCCTTGGAGAGTTTACATTTAATCAAGATATATCTTTCCTAAAGGAACAGAATGCTCCTTTTCCTAAAAGACATGTAAATATAATGTAGATGAATGAATTAGGTGATAGTTCTTATGCTTACATTGGGAGGCATCTGATACATAATGGTAATAATCTGTAAGAGCACCATAATTTGTCAGAGCCTAACTAAAACCTATTATCGATCCAGAATTATTGGCTTTTATATTGTTATAAAATGCCTTACAAAAAAAAGGAAATAGTAAGATCAAATCACTATAAACAATGCATACAATAAATTAGTTAGTTGCCAGATACTGTTCCATGATTGCTTTAGACTTGTTCAGCCTATTACCCTTGAAAATCCTTATTATTAGGTAGTCAGAATTATAATGCATAATGATTCCAAGGAATTGCAGAATCACAGACCCACACAAATTATCTTTTGTTCCTGCTTTACCCTAAGGCAGGAAAATATGTTACATATGTTTCAAGAGTAAGATTGAAATAGAAACGTTTCCTATTTGACATGAGCAAATAAAATTGTCATAAAAATCACAGTTCTCAAATAGTTGGTTCATAATATTATTCCCCGTATATAATACTTCTAAGCTGTTGACTGGGGTGCCTCCATTTTTCACTTTAGAGAAAATGATAGGAGGAAAGTCAGAGTCCTGGAGATCAAAAATAATTAACTAAGATTAGTAAGAAAACACCCTTAACATAAATGACCAGAGGTAAGCAAAGAAGTCTTTCCAGATCAGAAAACATTTGATTTGAATCTTATTGGAAGTAATTAGAATATTTTTATTTTTATTCTCAGTCTTTCGGTAGATATGGAAGGTGGCAGAAACAATATTTTAAACATATTTCCTCTTTTAGATTGAACATAAATTTTTTGGATACTGTCTATGTACCAATCACTGTGCAAAATGTTTTGATAGACTTTACCATATTTCATAATTGCATTCTCTGTGTTTTTAGGTCAGAGATCAGCAGTTTCCATGTCTCACCTGTGTTTCCATTAGAAAAACAATTTGTCAGATATAATATTTAAAGCTACCATAGACTTTTGTTGTTGATGATGGTTGTTTCATTCTCTCATTCCATTTAAAAAACACAAAAGTCAGCATTTTAAAACAACCATTGTATTGCTTGTGACTAGGTCAGCAATTGAACAGGACTCATCACAGATGGCTTATCTGTACTACATACGGCATTGGCTGGGGCATCTTGACTGGGGCTGCGTTCACGTGCTTGGAACTTTAGGGTTCCTTTGTTCTGAACATGGCCTCTTTCTCCAGCATAATAGCCTGGACTGCATTACCTGGTGGTTGGGTTTCCCTCCTGTAGGACTAGAAACTGCAAGTCTTCTTCTGGGTCAGGCTTGCAAGCCTCATTTCTGCCTTGTTACACTGGTCAAAGCAAGTCACAGAACCAGCTCAGATTCAAGAGCTTGGGGAATAGATTTCACCTCTTCACAGGAGGAGTAGCATGCGCATACATGTTGACATGGGAGAAGTTTGTGGTGGCCATCTTTACAATTTACCACAATCATGTTACATCATAAGATGACAATGTTAAAAGAAATGCTACTTTATGTACAGTTCTCATTCCCTGCTTTTCCCCCTCTTTCTTCCACAGATGCCTGTGTATTATTACCCATCTGGTCAGTACCCTACCTCAACCACACAGCAGTACCGGCCCATGACCTCAGTTCAGTACAACACTCAGAGAAGTCAGCAGATACCACAGGCAGCCCAACAAGCAGGTACTTGGAATCTGTTTCCATTTTCTTCCCCAACACAGTTATTTTTGCCGGTGAATCTCATAGATGTACTCTTTGGATGAGCATACAAGCTTGGTGATTTAAATTGACAAGTTTCCCCTACCAAAAGTAGACAACAAAGCATTCAGTTAACTCTGCATGGAGAAGTAACAGATACAGGAAGGTGAGCATACGTCAGTCTTGCATCCCAGGCATGCATGCTAAACACAGTCTCCATAAATCATTTTTGAATACTCAGTTTATTTTAAGCAGAGAGCCAAACACATTCCTATCTTCCTAGCTCATGCTTTTTTTTTTTTCCTTTCTGATTTTATGAGAGTGTGTCCCCTGTTCCTTAGGCTAGGGAACCAAATTAGGTTGTTTTGATAGTGTCCTAAAAAGCACTGTCTTTAGAAGAAGGCTACTGACCATGCAGCGTGTGTCTCGGTGGAACTCTGACTCCGTGGTTCACTGTCACGATGGCCACAAGCCTCCTGGCCAGAGCCCGGCAGCCACTGTGCAGTGGGAAGGGGGGCCGATACACTGTACGAGAGTGAGTAGCAGGTCTCACAGTGAACCGGTCTCTTTCCCTACTGTGTCACACTCCTAACGGAATGCCGTTACCCAGAGAGCAGCAGGAGCCCAGCAGGGCTGACTGACTTGTGCTAGGGAGAGGTTCGTGTCATTCCTGCTGACTAAACTGCGGGAAAAACTGCTAATTGTCATGCCGAAGATCGCCTGACTGGGAGACTGCCTTCTGTAAGTAGGTCACGTTAAAGAGCACCTGCTCCCTGTGGCTGCTCACAAATGACTGCCCTGTGATCTGATTTGTGCAATGAATATATGTATATGCCTATGAAATATGTACAGATATTTGTATGTAAGATGTACATGATATGTTCCATTTTCTATAAGCTGTTAAAAAAAGCACTGTTCTTACCAAAGATTAGTACCAATCACAGACTCCCTAAGAATACTCATGCCAACACTGATTGGAGAAAGAATTAAATTCCTCTGTATCGTGGATGGCTATGTGTTCTTTAGCTCATCTCATGGCCCATTTAAAGTACGTGAAAGAAGAATTAGAGAAACCTCTAGGAGCCAGCCAGATTTTGTCTTGTTTCAACACTGTATCTGTTTGAGGAAGAGTATATTTGACTTCGGAATTGACTTTATACTTTTGCAGTGGTAAGAACACAAAATAATTTTAAATTATTAGTTAGTTTAAGAAAATATTTAACAATACTTAAAAAATATTTGGCAATATTTTCTATGATTGGTGGAAAATGTTATCTCTGTCATTTTGGTGGTAACTGCTTAGATATACCACAATAATGTATTGCTTGCATTCTGAACTGTCTTATTTTCTTCTGCTAATGTTTATTAAAGAATTAATTTATAACATTCTAGATCTTGGTTCAGAGGCTATAAAGAAGTTTTCCTTTTGGTTACTAATCCTTCTAAAGAAGGATGCATATATCTAATTCTAACAATTTTTACTTAGTTTAGTGTCATCATGTGACAGTTTTCTAAAGAGACATTTTAGCCCTGTGGTAGAGTGTCCTCAATATCAGGGAATGTGGTTACAAACGTGTGGAATCCACTAAACCTGTAAACTCTGGATTATGTGAGAAGAGGAGAAAGTTGGATGAATATGTTAATGGAAAACAGAGTTAGATTTAAAAGTCTAGGTTTCCCATGACTCCTACATAGCTATTTCTCTTCACTACTTCACTGACAAGAGCCAACACAAGAGAAAATACAAGTGGCATTGTTTACTCCTTTATAAAACAATGTGGGAGAATTCAGGACTGTAGAAACCCCCTCTCCCATTTCAGAGAGATCTAACTGGCCAGAGAGACCTAACTCCCAACTACATTTCCTGACAACCTGGTGGCTTTGACTTGTCCTATGATTCTACATCACCATGGAAATGCCACCCCCAAGGTGAGATAAGGACACTGTATGAGGAAAATGCATTGTAAAGCAGCAGCATGCTCAAAATAGAAGCAAGGGCAGCGCTTTGGGTGTCAAGAAGTGAGTGGCAGTTAGAGAGGTCTGTGGGGGGTGGGAGGTGAGAAAAGTGATGTGATACATAAACAGTATCTTCCCAGAAGTGACAGTGTCAACACACACATGCAGACTCAGGTCTTTGAGCTCCTAGTTTTTGTGACTACCACACCTGATACCAAGCCTGAAAATCTAGTGCAGTTTCCATCACAGGAAGGGAGATGGCGTCCCCTGGTGGTGTCCACACAGAGTATCACTCCTACTGTTAAAATCCAGGTAGCCCAGCTCTCGCACAATGGCTTTCCCACAGTGCATAGAGGCTCTGGGTCCTATAGCTGGGAGGCCTTCTGCTGAGCCTAGTGAGACCCACAGACTTCCTGAAGAGACATGGCAGAATTATTTGTGGGAACAACTTTATGTAGATGGACTGTCTCACAGAGGAAAGATCCTCTTTAGATAACTGTAAAAGTCATATTTCCTGGAGGAGCTTGAAGACAGGCCTTCTCTATCTTTAAATTGAACTCTGGACTAGTGTCACATGGTGCCATCACACAGTGATGCTCCAATTTGCTCTTTCTCCTGTCTCCTGCAGTCATGCAGCCTGGAATCTGAGCCTTCTCACCCTTATCTGGTGCTGACACCAGATGGTATCATAGCATCCTCTGCTACCTCCTGATCAAGCAATAGAGGGGGCAAAATTATGTCTGTTAAAGCCAAATGAGATTCTAATCCCAACTTGCTTCTTGGCACTGTTGTTAATCTTTATTTAATTGCAATGAAAAGCACCTCTTCCTTCTCCTACATTTGTGGCAGAATTGAAATCTCTGTCAACTACTACATCTTTTCTAGGCTTTAAAAGTATATGTAGTGAATTTTTATAAAGTGAATTGTGTACTCTACAATTGATTAAATAGGACACTTGAGTTAAATAGAGTCCCAGGAAGAGGACATAAGTTCTTCCTCCAGGTGATTTAGTTGTCTTCCCTCTATCAGTGGGTAGTGAAGGTCTTAAACATGTGGAAGACGAAGGCTGTGCTGGTGATGATTATAAATAAAGGACACTAATGTTAAGAAATTTTCAAGAAATCAAAGGTATATATGCACAGTAACATTTAGATTTCATAGCTACATGTATGAGGAAAATAGAAACCTTTAGTTTAGAAATGTCTCTAATGGAAAAGATTGTTTATTGCCAATCTGACATTACCAGGTATTCCCAACAGTGGGGGGAGTAGGAGGCATGTAATCTTCTTTATGAGGCAACTGTTGATAACCCAAGACTGTGTAGAAAAGTAGTTATCAGGTTATAGCTACAAGGACTATAGTTTTTAAATCACTGGGACTTTAAAAGACCTGGAAGTGAGAGTGTCTTGCCTGAGAACAGATTTTCTCAGTGGTCAAATATTGAAGTGCTGATGAACAAATCTTTCAATACTTAATGTTTTAGGTTTGTTTCAGTAGTTAGCTATCATACTGCTTTTAGTTTATACCTGAGTCACTATAATTTTACTATTATTGAAAAACATTTTTACAGCCACAAAAATATTAAGAATAATTATATCCAACATCTATGAGGATCTCTTAAGGACTAGTTGCTATACTAAGTATTTACAAGCTTAGTTTAATCCCCACCATAAATTTACAAGGGAAATATAAGCATCCTTGTTTTACAGATGGGAAAAACTATTGCTCAGGGAGGTGAGATAAATTAGTGCTATAAGTTTCCCTCAAAGTACTGCTTTAGTTGCTTCCCACATATTTTGATAAGCTGTGTTTTCACATTCATTCATTTGTTTGTTTTTGTTTTGTTTGTTTGTTTGTTTGTTTTTTGAGACTTCCTCTTGGACCAATGCACTATTTAGAGGGGTGTTGTTTAATGCCTATGTCAGGTATTTTTCTGTTGTCTTTATGTTATTAATTCTGGATTGACCCATTATAGCAAGATAACATACTCTGTATGATTTCAATTCTTATAAAATTGTTGAGTTTGGTTTTATGGCCCAGGATGTGGTCTCTCTTGATGAATGTGCCATGACTACTTGAAAGAATTAGATATTCTACTGTCTTTAGGTGGAATGTTCTATGCATGTCAGTTAGATCCTATTAGCTTATTTTGTTGTTCAGATCTTCTATATTTTTGCTGATTTTCTGTTTGCTAGTTCTATCAGTTGCTGAGAAGTGGATATTCATGACCCCAACATTCTAACTTCCTAAAGTCTTGAAATGAATCTCAAGGCAAAGGTAGCCCCCAGTGTCCCTAAAGTCTAAGGGTGGAGGAGAGACTTTGAAGTTATTTGGAGCATGTTATCATTCGGTTCTCATCCCAGATGAATCAGAAATGCTTCATTTTCTAAAAGAAGTTAGAAACATTTTACATAAACAGTCTGGAAGATAAAGGCCCTCTAAATAGTGGAGTTTAGGTGACCTGTTTCTATAAGTTGCTGCTTTTATCTCCCACTTGTTGAGCTTTCAGCACTGATGCCAGGAATATTTCTTTAGGTTTAGATAGAAGAATAATAAACAGACAGTTTATTATCTATTTCATTATTTGTAATTTAGTTCATTATTTACAGCAGACAGTCCAACAGTTCTGCCTTCCTAATAAACTAGGAGAGTCTGTATTCCCAAATGTTGTGAAAATAGAACAATATGAAGATAAGGTGGCTGCAGAGCAGAGCAGGAGCCTTCAATTAGATTAGTTATAACTGCAGCAAATCATCTGGTGCAGATTCTAAGAACTGTGGAGATGCTTCTCACCTCTGCTTTATAAATCCCTTTCCTCTTCTACTCTCCTTCAATTCCAAGTATCAGCTGATTGATTTATTTTGGGTAAAAAGCAGTTTCATAGAGCATTTTCCATGAAAATGTTTTACATCAGAGGTTATAGTTCAGAAGGAAACCATGAAAAGGAAATCTTAAAAATGCATAGTATTGGAAACCCCATGCAGCTTTTGTAGGGCTCCCCTATGCCTATTTAACGTACTTCTGCTCTGTTCTCAGGTCTCTGTGTTGAGTAAATGATGCTCCAACCTGCCTTACAATAGTAGAGTTGGAATCTCTTGCAGAAGGCAAT